CCTGAGGCTGCACCTTCTTTCAAGTGTGATCTCCTCTTTTTAGCACAAGTCCATACGCTATCTGTTTATGATGAATTTGAAATATGGTCTTCAAATCCTTTCTCATTTTCAGAAATTGAACGTTCATGTCTCCACTTTCCACTCCTCACGCCAGAATGAAGAGGTCATACAAAATGTACTTGGAGCCAAATTCTTCTGATGCTACTCCATGTTCAACACAGCACAGATTAAATCTCCAATTGAATGAAACTCCTGGAACCTCTTCTGAGATTGATATCACTCACATGGACAAGGACCATGCCACTGATTCTGGCTCTGAGGTGAAAGAATCTCTTTTCAACACACTATAACAAAAACTGTTAAGAAAAAATAGTCATTACATCAGTATTTCAGAACTGGATTATGTATTGCACCACTTCAGGTTTTCACTGATAGACAAGACCTATCTTATGATGAAGATAACCAAGCCTAGCTACATGCTTCACAGGTAAACTATCATGTCTGATTACATTTTTTGCTTGGGTTTTCTCAATTTTAGACACATTTCTCACAATTAAGAGAAATATGTGAGATCTACATTAAATTTACCCACTGATGTTTACCCACTTCATGAAGTGATGAAGATGAAGAGGAATACTTCAGAGATATTCAAATTGATTCCTTAACTGGGTTGTCGTATCATGAAGAACATGATATGATATGAGCATGAACACACAAAATGATCCATTCAACATGTTTGGTCCAGCCCCTGATCTGGATGACAGGTTGTGTGATTTTGTGAATGTAACCAAAGCAGAGACTTTGCTGATGATCGTTTCTTATGCAATAAGGCATTGTCTCACTAGTGTGGCAATTGTTGATCTACTCCAGTTGATAAATGTGTTGTTTGGTATGGATGTACTGTAGTTGCATATTCCAAACATCTTGTCAAGGATGTCAGAAGGGACGAACCGTAGAATGGCAGGAGAGCGAAATAGACCCTAGGGGCGTAGGGGCGAGATGGGGGTTAGCCCGGGCTCAGCTGTTCAGGAAATGCCGTATAGAAACCTATGCCCTCAGGCCATGAACAGGAGTGACCTGGTGCTAGGTGGGTCTCAGAACATCTGAACCTCAATGCTGAGCAAGGAGCAGAGCAGAAGCAGGAAGTAAATAGGCTTCACAACAAGACACACTAGAAAGACATGAATAATCACAGGGAACTGGGAACAGGAGAGAAACAGAGCACCCTCTAGGTGTACTGGGCGTGACACTTCAAAGGTTTTTTAACAAGTCCTCACTGACCTAATTCCTTTTCTATTGCAAATCATACATTGGAACGTACTGCAGATTGGATGAAACAAAAGATAAACAATGTCCTCACTGTCACCAGTTTTGTAAAACAAATAATCTAAACCAAGGCCATTTTTTTCAAAACGGGTCCAACCAACCCAAAAAAACAAGGCCCCCCTGAAAAACCAAAAGGGAAAAAACCTGGGGCAAAAAAAAAAAAAAAAAAAAAAAAAAAAAAAGCCCCGGGGGAACCAAAAGAACTGAAGGGGAAGCGCAAAAACAAAAGGCAACCCCAAGAAAAAATCCGAAAGAAAAAGGAAAACTCCCCGAAAAAATTAAAAAGGAAGGAAAGCCAAGTTCTAAATCAACCAAAATTTCCAGCCAATGTAATGATGAACGACTTTTCCCCCAGGAAGTGAAGCAAACGCAGGGCACTTGCCTGTCTGTGGTTTGGTAAAGGCCATCCCATGGTGCGAAGTTTTCTTCACCAGGTTGTTGAGGACGCCAAGTCGTTGGCAGACGCTGGAGTCCAATGGATGAGAAGGACAACAACATGTGTAACAAGTAAAGTCATGGGATTGTGTTGCTGTGTGGATTCTGTAGCAAGACTCATCATACAGAATACCACACAATACAATGGGTCTTATGGTTGCAGTCCATCCTGGTAAAGTGCTTCTGAGGCAAGTTAAATGTCCTTTGTCAGAACTGGAGTATCAAGACATATGTAATATGTAATGAGGTTAACGGGCCATCCCCTTTTATTAACCTCCCATACTTCAAAATAGTTTGGAGCTTCACACCTGATTACATGAATTGTGTCACTGTGTCCGTCCTTTGGATGAGACGTAAAATTGAGGTCCTGACTCTCTGTGGTCATTAAAAATCCCAGGGCGTTTCTCGAAAAGAGTAGGGGTGTAACCCTGGCGTCCTGGCCAAATTTCCCCTTGGCCCTTACCAATCATGGCCTCCTAATAATCCCCATCTATGAATTGTCTACATAACTCTGCTCTCCTCCCCACTGAGAGCTGATGTGTGGGGAGCGTTCTGGCGCGCTATGGCTGCTGTCACATCATCCAGGTGGGTGCTGCACATTGGTGGTGGTGGTGGAGGGGAGTCCCAATTACCTGTAAAGTGCTTTGAGTGGAGTGGCCAGAAAAGTGCTAAATAAGCAATTATTATTATTACACAACTCATTCATAATATCATCATCTAGTGCATCTAATGAAGCACATTACATTTACTCAAATATATTATTCATTATTTACTTCCCACCAATTTCAGTTTCTAAGCCTCTATGAAGCATATTCATCCCTTGCTTTGACAACACCCAGTTGAACAGCTCCAGCTTTCCAGCCTGTCCACCAGCTCGATTAGAAAATGACCAGCTGTTTCCAGCTTGACCAGCTAGCATCCATCTTGGGTACCAGCTTGACCACCTCGAAAACCAGCTAGACCAACAACAAACCAGCTTTGACCAGCTTGGAGCAAATATGTATTTTCCACTAGGGAAATCGCTGTATTTATCGTCCATCACTTTTATAAACCGCTTTGTCCAACACAGGGTCGCCCATCTCGGCAAGCAACGGGCACAAGGCAGGATGGAACCGAATCCGCATTAGCAATTGGATCTTGAATCCCTATCAAAGGCTCAAACGAACTAATCGTGAAAAAGAGAATCAAATGTACACCCTAATCGATATTTAGTTTACTTTTTAAGGATTTTAATAATATTTACGTTTTCACAATTTACACTCAGAGACCTTATATTTAATCTCAGTAGGGAATCGTACTGTACCTCCAAGGTTTCCTGAAAACCCAGTTCTCTTCCAAAAACTAAGAGAATTTGACCGGTTACGGATCTGAAGGAGTTAAAGAGAAATAACAGCTAACGCAAAACCCATATTAACCTGCTGTCGGCAAGCGGAACTCAGTTACATTCACTCTTGTTTCTTAGACGAACTCTAAATTCGTCGGAGCATTAAGTTTACGTAAGTAACTGAGCTATTAGTACTGTATATAGTTTGTTTTTCTAAACGTGCTTTAACACTACGTGTTAAATTATTTGAATGTAGACTATGAAATGTTTATTTTTATAATCGAATGGTTGTGAAAGTGTAAAAATATTTATCATACCGACATTTATTTTGGCGTTTAATGTTTATGAGGGCTATAGGCTACATGCGAATTACACACTCCAAACAAATACACGTGTTAAAGTGATTGCCCCGTCTCCGACAGTATTAGGGAATTATACACTTTAAATGTGCGAATTCATATAAACAGAAGCGAGAACTTGACGTGCTTTACCAAAGATTCCCATTTTATTGATTGTAGGTTCTCGAACACGTATTAAATTAATAGTTATTTTAAATTTGACAACCATCTTAATTATTTGTTCAAAAACAACAAAAAATCACGAACAGGGAAATGCTGATTAAGTCAAATCAAGTTTATTTATCAAATGCACAACAATACGGCGTGCAGCAGTAGTTGCTGGCAATGACATGTCTTTTTCTGCGAGCTCACATAAATTACAAGAATCACAAAAATTCACAAAAACACAAAACTCACAAATTTGAGGTTACATTTTTGAAATTGAATAAAACTCAATGTGAGTAGAGCTGTTATCTGTCCATGGTGTGTGCAATATATACATGTAGTGCAGTTATGCTGAATAAAGTGAGAATTGTGTGTCCATGTAGCCATTACAGGTGATTTGCTAAGGAGCTACAGGTTGGCTATTTAGCAGTCTTATTGCCTGGAGATAGAAGCTGTTCTGTAGTCTGTTGGATTTGGACCTTGGCTTTGGTACCGTTTACCGGATGGTAGGAGCGAAAACAGTTTGTGACTGGGATGACTGGGGTCCTTGAGAATGGACCTGGCCTTCTTCAGACATCAAGCTAAGTAGATCTCCTGGATGCTTGGTAGCTCACAGCTGGTGATAAGCTGCCCTGACTTCACCACCCTCTGCAATACTTTGCGATCCCTATTTGTGGTGATTAAGTCACCACAAATAGAGGAAATTCATATTCAGAGTGAATTCTGCTTGCATATTTAGCAGACGATGGTTATCGGGAGATAAGATGAAGTATGTTATTTCAATGTTTACCTACGTCCCACTTTTGTGTTTTTTGGTGCAGAGTTGTAGTCATGCTTGAAATCGCATTCTAGAGGTGAGATACTCTGGTTGAATTGACACGGAGTGACCCAGTAGCAGATAACCGACCGTGGCTTTCAACTTTTTCAGTAATCTTGCATAAATGTTCATCTTCATGATTGTGAATTTAGAGCTTCCTTTTGTCACTGTGCTGTTTGTGTCTGGAAAACATTCCTGGTAACTGGTGGTGTTACTAGGTTTCTAAAGTTGACCAGTTTTACAGACTCTTGCAAAACGTTATATGTACTGTAGATTTAACTTAGTAGTCCTGAGAAAAAAATACGTTTTATTCAAGAAGAATCTTAAGACGCCACACACAGAAAATGAATTACAGATACAATTAAATAAAAAATGAACATATATAGAAAAACAACTGGTATAACTTCATAAAATGATAAATTCTGAATTTTATATTATATAACATCAGTTTTTCATATTACTTTATGCGTGTGTATTGCTTTTTTCTTCTATAGTAAATACATTTTCAATGGGTATTCCTGTCTAATGCAAACCTGTTTTTTTTTTAAATAGAGCCAGAGGACATGGGTTAGTGTATTAAAACTGTAAAGGAGTCACAAACTATCTAGTAAGGCTGACAAAGCTGATACCCTTAATATCCAGTATCACCTGGTTGATACTGGGTAAGTTTCTTGGATAAATTAACAACTGGAAACAAAACAAGATAAATGGATAAAATGGGTGTGTTTAGTTTCTTGAATGTGCATGTTTTTTTTGTGTGTGTGTGTGGGGGGATTCCTGTTCTGATTCTGAGTGGTGTGCATGAGTAGGACAGACAATTTTAGTTTATTGTGCAATGTATTATGTCTTCTCTGTCTCATTATTTATGTCTTCTCCATGCAGGATGGAGGTCTCAGGCCACTCACTTGAGGATTTGTCGTACCAGCCCTGGGTGCCCGTGGAAATCGCAAGCACTTGTTTTCTGGCCAAAGTTCATTTTGGAGAAACCTCCTACCAGTTGCTGCTATCAGACTTAGACTTGGTGTGGCATGAGCAATTAAGCACAGAAGCCATCAGACAGCGGGCACAGGTTAGAAAAAGCTTTGGTATTTAGTGATAAATTTAGTACGGGCAGCGTAGTGGCATGGCTGTTAATGTTGCTGTGTCATGCTCCCTGAGTTGTTTGTGTGGTTTTTCTCTGGGTGGTTTTTGTGTCCTCAGCCCTTCCCAGATTCATGCTAGGCTAGGCTAATTGGCATCTCTGAATTCTCTATATTTTTGTGTTTCTTTTGATGGGCTGCTTTCCTGTCCAGGGTATAGTCCTGCCCAAAAGGAATGCTAGTATCATGGGCTTTGGGTTATTGTGATCCTTAAAACAAGAATATGTGGTTTTCAGGTAAAGAATACTGTTACAAAGGGGGGGTTATTCAGAAATAAAGTAATTAAAACATATAAACCTGAATGGTAGATGTGATTTGAGGCACTTGAGTTCTTTCTGAAAGAGTCAGACTTGTATAGTCCAATATTTAGCAAGGAATGATAGCCATATAAGCAACACAAAACATTACACAATGTACAGCCTGAAATATTACACTATACACAAAACCTCTTAGAGGCCTGCATCCTACAGACCCATAAACCTAGAATGTTAGGCATGTAACTGAAAAATCCTGCCCTCGTAATAAAAGCATACATTTTATGATCAAGTCTCCCTTCCTAAAACATGGATGCCCAAAAGGGGATGGGAATCAATCTCATTATTCACCAAATGAGGAGAGAATGTGTTTAGCCCGAGGATAGCACAATAAAGGAAATCAGAATTTCCTAAAATAAGTAGGACAGCAGTCTCTCTAAAACAAAGTTAAAATGACTTTGCCAGAATCTGGTCTCCGAGACTGATCAGAACAAGCTGCTCTCCCCTGGCACAATCCTAGAGGAGGAGGATGTTTCTTGTCTCTGTCTCATTCTTGCCTTGAATTTCTTTCCTTGTTTTGCTGCCATCATTTTATTCTGCCTGTTTCAGTGTTTGTTTTCACAATGAACAATTTGATCATTACAATGAACCAGAGCCATTCGCCAGAAATCTCTTGTCTGATCATCGGTGATTACCTGTCTGTAAGCTCAGCTGCAGCTACGATAGGTAAACCCCTCCACTGAAACTCAGTGCATTATTTTATAATAACAATACAATGGAAAACTACGAACATAATCAGTCAGAGCAGGACAGGAATCTCAGCAACATCAGTCATAGCAACATCCTTTTTTTCATCAATGTGTACTGGGAGGCTGGAGCACTGTGTATCAGAATCTGTATCCTTGTATCTAAAGCTGTAATTGCTCATTTGATAGACATGTTATTATGTGTCTTTCAGAGATTATGGTTACAAAGAACCATTTATGATTGTAGAATCTGACAACAGTATGTACCCTTATACATTGGAGGAAGGATAATAAGTAATTATGTATGAAGTGTGGTATAAATAAGCAATATTACTAAAAACAAAAATAAAAAAAGTACCCTGACAAAAATATGATTAACTCCGTTTATTTAATCCAAACATTGAGGCAGTAGAAACATCCCAGTGGTTTTACGGCGTGTATGGCTCATGCCTACTGCTTTCACCGCAGGAGCTGAACAGGCGTCTGACAGCCCCAGTATCGTCCGTCTTCCGTCACCTGCGTAAGGTGGCCCAGCCCAGGCTGGAAGGGGCCGAGCACGGGGCGAGCGAGGCCGTGTTCTCGCACGAGCGCGTCCAAGACAACCTGCACGTGCGTGTGAAAAGTGAGCTTGCAGGAGTGCCCTTCTACTGGGAGTTCCGATGCACACCAGTCCCCGTCACGGTGGTAAGATCCAGATTTAAATGCTGTTCCATCAAAGGGGGAGGACAATCAATTAACCTTTGCTTTTATGGGCTTGCCTGGGAGCCGATATTCATTGAACTCATTGCATTTTCCGAAGTATTGCTTTCCTTATGGGATCCTTCCTCCTGGAATTCGATACAGGTGGTCCCTGATATACGTGAGGGTTAGGAGGTGGAAAGTCACAAACTATAGTGAAACAACATATAAAGGGGAAGTTTTCCTCTGAAGAACGATGTCAATATGGAGGGCTCAGGACCGTGTACATTTTGCCTGTGCGACTTAAAGTAAGAGACTTTTTCCATAAGAATTAATATAATGGTGTCTGGGTAGGCAGCATAAAATAAACTAAATGTGTGTTTCACTTGTAGCTACCTAATGGAGTACAGAGGGCCCTGTTATAAGCCCAGGTTATGTTCCTAACTAATGTAACGAAATGGCTTAAATGTAACGAAAAGGATAAATTAAGTCATAAGAAATAATGTAATTAACTTGAGATCCTACCAGCATACAGGTCTGACATAAGTTTATGTACCTAGAACCCATAAAAACCAAGAAATATATGTAAATAGTTCCACTAACTCCATGGTGCCCCACTGTGGCCTCGTTGAAACCGACAAAGTCGTTCACTGCCTTAAGATAGATCTGTTTTTCACGCATTTAGTTAGCGATCAACCTTGGGTCTTTTAAAAAAAAAAAACAGTACTTTTGCCATGGACTAAGCATCAGAGCTTTTTGACTTTTGGGGAATGTGTGCAGGAGGGGTTTCAAGCTTTTGCTTTAGGTGGGGAGAGGGTGAGGCTTCTTGCATTTTTGCTTTTCTTCTCACTGCAAGAGAATTGTCCTCCTTCATTTATGTTTTCTGTGTGCAATGAGCAGCTCCACAAGAAAATATTTAACGTCTGAAATGTGTATATGGTATGTTTCTTTTCATATCCTTCATCCTGGGGACACTTGTAAGTCACAGACAAGCATGTCATGTGCTTGGATATAGCAGCCATATCACCCTGCAACTCATAACTGGCTGCACACTGAAGCACAGCAGGTGTGAGCCTGGTCAGTACCTGGATGGGATACCTCCTGGGAAAGACTAAGGTTGCTGCTGGAAGAGGTGTTAGTGGGGCCAGCAGGGGGCGCTCACCCTGCGGTCTATGTGGGTCCTAATGCCCCAGTATAGTGAGGGGGAAACTATACTGTAAACAGGCGCCGTCATTCGGATGAGACGGAAAACCGAGGTCCTGACTCTCTGTGGTCATTAAAAATCCCAGGGCGTTTCTCGAAAAGAGTAGGGGTGTAACCCCGGCGTCTTGGCCAAATTTCCCATTGGCCCTTATCAATCATGGCCTCCTAATAATCCCCATCTATGAATTGGCTTCAGTACTCTGCTCTCCTCCCCACTGATAGCTGGTGTGTGGTGAGCGTTCTGGCGCACAATGGCTGCTGTCACATCATCCAGGTGGGGCTGCACACTGGTGGTGGTGTAGGGGAGACCCCATTACCTGTAAAGCGCTTTGAGTTGAGTGTCCAGAAAAGTGCTATATAAGTGTAAGCAATTATTATTATTATAGACCTGTGTGCAGCCCTTGATTTGGTGTGTGTTAAGAATCTGTATAAATAGCTGTTCATCGGGGTAAAAATAGCTTTGTATACAGCGCTTACCATACTTATTAAAACCGCCAATTACATTGGAACACAAACGTGAGAAAGGCGAATCTTGCTTAAAGATATCAGAAAATGTTCCATACTCTAATTGTAATGTATAGTTCAAAAGTCTTAGATTTCCAGAAGACAAGAGGACCACATCATTCACACCTCTCAGCATTACTTTAAATACAATCCAGCAACAAACAAATCTGCATTCCCAGTCTCCTCTTCGTAAGCACAGTGGACACCTCTGGAGCAATAAATTGACCCTCAAAGTTTCCCTGTTAACCTGAGGTATAAAAGAAAGTAATACACTAAGATAGCTGGCGTGGCATGGTTATGGACTTCAAAAAGAGGGCTGGCTGTAAAAGAATCCACAAAAAGCGGTATCTATCACTTTTCAATGGAGTGTCGATTATTAGGAAACTTGAGGTTACTGGTGTAAAGGCAGTTCTGCCAGGAAGATGATGTAAAGTGTATCTCGCCGACGTTTTCCGTGACGCACGTGGTTTGGGGGGCAGCCATAATTCACAGCGGCTGGAGATCTCCAACAGGAACTGGCATCTTCAGGATACACAGTGTCAAAACTTTCAGTTTGCTTTCGCACATGTGGCATTCATGGCCGGGTTTCAGGGTAGAAGCCTCTTCACTTAAAAAAGGCAACTGTTAAGATGATCCAAATGACAGTGGGAACCATGCCGTACGTTAAGATTCAATGCAAATTGAAAGTTAGGGCATGCTCATCACCGCAGTGGTTGGCATAAAAGAAGCTGAAGCTCATGTGAGGAAAATGCTCTATGAGTTGGAAGTGGGTTTAAAACACAGCAATCTGTATATGGCAATCCAATTCAGTCCTTAGATGACTAAAATGTAAATATGCAGTTCATCAGATTCATTTGGGTATCAGCAGTTTAAAGGCATTGTCAAAAAAAGGTAAAATATCACAAATGTCTTGACTCTCTGTGGTCATTAAAAATCCCAGGGCGTTTCTCGAAAAAAGTAGGGGTGTAACCCTGGTGTCCTGGCCAAATTTCCCATTAGCCCTTACCAATCATGGCCTCCTAATAATCCCCATCTATGAATTGGCTTCATCACTCTGCTCTCCTCCCCACTGATAGCTGGTGTGGGGAGCATTCTGGCACACTATGGCTGCCGTCGCATCATCCAGGTGGGGGCTACACATTGGTGGTGGTGGAGGGGAGTCCCCATTACCTGTAAAGCGCTTAGAGTGGAGTGTCCAGAAAAGTGCTATATAAGTATAAGAAATTATTAATTCTTATTATAAATGCACACAGCAGGAAGAGTTAATTTTGTACAACAGAATACTAGCGCAGTGCGGTACTTAAAATACAGTGGCCCTGCGGCGCAAAAAGATAAACAAAACGGATGTGCCGCAAACACAGGCATGTCCACATTTGTACTTTCCACCTCTGCTCTGTTTGGTTTTTTTGCATCCTTTGAATTTGCATGCCCGCGTTTTTCAGATGGTGCCACGTCTTTGGCACTTCTGAACCACTGTACTTTCTGTATTTCCCCATGGAAGTAGATACTGTAAGTTCCACCCTGGTTAGTCACAGATGTTCTCTTTCGGCACGGTCAACCTGATGCATGGTGCCAAAATATGTTTTCATTTGGCAAGTGACTAAAACACCTTGTTTGACCAAGATCATTTGTTCTCTGTTAGTTTATCGAGGCTTAGATTTTTATGTAACACTTTCACCTTTTTGCACGCCAACTGACCAAAACAATACCAGAGCACTTTAATATAAGTCCTCTTCTGAGGAGCTTCCAGATGTGAAGAGAGGTGACTGAGCTAAAGCAAAAAGCAAAAAAAAAAATCTTACTGTAGCAGCTTAAATGTATGCAAAAATATTGTGTTAAAGCAAATGACATTTTTCAGGGCAGTTCTAGTTTTGCTTTGCAAAAGGGTTATTTGTATTATTTCAATTGAGTTACAGATTCAATAAGAACACACTTGTTTCATGCTTGGTCTATCTGTGACTCCAGTGCAGTATGTTCCAGGTCAATAATTTTGCGACTCCTTTTAGTCAGACTGTCAGCCAGAGTTTGCTCTCAAACTTCACTTATGGGTGTAATTCTCCTATCCAAAATGAGCACTGCGTATATGAGCTACACAAATGAGCGCTACTTTTCAGGCCGGTTGGAATGTTTCATCGCAAATGTTTTTTGCTCGGGCATCCTGGGCCAATGCAATGCAGACCTCAAGGTGCTTTGCGTTTATTTGCAAAAATGCAATGTTTTCATTTATGAACAGTCACAAAATATTGGAATATCAATACATTTGCTAAGGATATACCTATTATTTCAGACTCCTAATTTCCCCTTGAAAGTATTATTGCTTTTCTATCTTCCCCGAGTGATATTTTAAGTAACTCGGGGAAGGCTGCGGTCAGAATGTGCAGTAAAGGGCCACTTACAGCCCAGAATCTGTTTGTTAAGCAGTTAAAATTCCAGCTGCGTCACATTTGTCACCTCCTGACTGCCACATTTCCAACTACTGTCCCCGCAGCACTACCAAAACTTCATTTTGTCCATGTCCTGGCAGGCCACTCTGCCAAGCTCTGCAGTTATTTCTATTTCTGCGGTGAAATAATAATACCAAGGACTGCCAGCCAACCTATTATTTCAGACACTGCAGTAGTACAGCAGTGTCATCTGGCAGGGCTGCTGGTAGTCTCTCATTTTTCCATTCTTAGCCTAGGTTGAAAGACCAAAATGCTGCCAATGGCACTGTCTATCAGTGCTATACTGCACCAGAAACTCTGAACACAGGTAGAACAGTGCTCTGCACCTTGGCTGTGAGCTGGTATTTGTGACAAAATAAATTTGCAAAGATCCACACAGTTATGAGAATAGCGCTACAAACAGGAAGCACTTGTTAAAATGTTCATTTTATATTTCTGCGCTAGTGTCCAACGAAGCTTTAGTCACCCAGTTTAATTTTCTTTTCGTTCAGGCTGCCCTGCAGCGGCTTTGCAGCGGATTTGGGTCCCAGGCAGTTTTAACTCGTGAGAAAAAAAAAAAAGAGAATGACATTTGAAATTCTACAGGACGTAGAGCAGGCGGAGAATGAAAACTCGTACCCTGCACCCTAATCTAATGAAAATGGCAGGCCTGTAAAAAGAAAAAAACAGAATGAAAGCTGAGGAAGCTATTCAAGGGCGCTGTGTTTTCATCAAAATGGTGGTGCAAATAAATTAAATCCATACATTGACAACTCCAGATGATGCTGCACATTGGTGGTGGTAGTGGGATTCCCCATTACCTGTAAAGCGCTTTGAGTGGAGTGTCCAGAAAAGCGTTCTATAAGTGTAAGTAAT